TATACCTAATGTGTATCACTCAATTATATTATACCTAATGTGTATCACTCAATTTTACTGTTGATTCTACGCTATCACGTGACGTCGTGATCCGACTTTCCGGATCACCACACTGTGGTTTTTAGAATCCATATCACATGACGTTATTTTTCTTGCGCGTTAAAAAGTCACATGTTATTATGCTTTATTTTATGAATAAATATTATACAACTGATCTCTTAAAATTTATTTTGCTCGTTATAAGGTGGTATATAATAAATTTATCATTTTAATAGTAACTTGATCCGAAGAGCCGTATCACGTCTGGTTGACAGGCGCATATCATCAGATCAAACTCTCTTTTGATGTGATGAGCCGCACCTGTCAACTCAACGTTATACGAATAATATATATTTATTGTATAAATACATTAGACAAACGCGATATGTGGAACATTCTGGTTACGCTAGGTCGTCCGAAATATCTGACGTTATTTAAGGCGGGGGGCAAATATTTTTTCGAGTCAGATTATTTATTTTCAGATTATTTATTTTCATGTCGGTGAAGGACAGATTATTTATTTCCAATAAGATCAGGGACATATTATTTTTCTTCTTAAAAGTCTGACAAGTAATAAAAATCAAAGTATTGAAAGAACTGAAAGCCGGGCTTTAATTGCTCGCGTATATTGTCTGATCTGAAATTAGTACATATTTATTTTTTTCCTTTTGGTCATTGATTTTTAACAGGTAGAGTTTGTTTGTTTGATTATGGTCTAAAACACTACCCCATATACTAGTAATTGAATTTAACAGTCCAAACCCCAAGATATGTAATAATTTTAAAATTTAATTAATAGTATTTTCAAAAAATTCTCGCATTTTTTCCTCATAATTTAAAAATTTAGTCTTGGAATAGTTAAAAAAAATGCACATTTGTATTTTAAAGACATTCTTTCAGTTCAAACAAACAGTACTTTTGACGCCAAATACGTGTGGAAATAATGATACATGTACATTGTCAATCGACTTCACGGATGTTAATTCTTAAAATTCCAATTCACTCTACCACATTAATTTGCTAAAAATCAAAACTGAATATAACCACTAACATAACATCAACGAAAACGATATAAAACATGAAACTCTTCAACAATAATTTCAACATTTCGAAAAGCCCGCGCTATTGAAAATAGTTCCCTTACAATATGCATTCAACAGCATAGGTGCACAAATTGTTATATCACGATGATCCCAATGAAGCAAATATCTAATTTTCTGTCACAAAAATATTGATCATTAACTTTTCCAATTATTGGGATGTTAAAAATATTTGTTTGAATATCGCATCCTAATGTGACTATTTTGTTTATCAGAAGTGTCTGCTTTGATGCTGTTTGGTTTTTTGTTTACTGTGCTATTTATGGTAAGGCAGTCGATCATGATGCCTATAGCCAGGACTTTGCTTTCAGCAAAGCCCGGCTAAAAAAACAAGATGCCCATGAGCCTTATACGTAACCTGAACATCATGCAACAAACTTTTAACCATTGAATTTAGTTCATGTTTTAAACCATAGGCTAAGACATTTGCACTTTTGAAAGAAGCGCCATTGCTCATTATAACTTTATACTTAGCATACTAAATTTGGTTACATAATACCAATAGATAGATTGTTGCCAGAGCCCTACTGTACCCCTGACCCAGGAAAATTCATGATTCTGCAAGAAAAACCACTGATCATACATTTGCTCAATACCTAGTAGCAGAGAAGATTTTCAAAGAGTAAATGCATTTCACTATAGTATATAGTCCAGCCCTAACACCAGAAACCCTGACCCTGGGGCCATAAAATTCAAAGTTTTCAAGAGGCACCCTTCCTCATCTAAACGATGTACTAGTATGTAGTTTTTAGGTCATCTGAGTAAACTAAGGTGATCTGTTGCTATCCGTTTTTGACAGCCGTCGTCCGTCGTGTGTCGTGCGTTAACATTTGAACATTTTCAGCTTCTTCTATGCAACCGCTCAACCAATTTTGGTACAAAGCATTTGTGGGTGAAGAAGTTTGATACCCAGGAGTAGAGAAAAAGATTTTCATAGAAATAATGCACTTACACAATATGATCTATATAGCCCCGCCCTAAAACCAGAGCCCCTTGTCCCGGGGCCATGAAATTCACACTTTTTGAAGAGGCACCCTTCCTCATCGGGAGGTCAACATTACCGCTACATTGCCAGAAATTTCAACTCATTACCGCTACATTTTTTCAGATTTTCTACCGATCATTACCGCTACATTTTTCCGGCCGAAAACAACTCATTACCGCTACATATTGAATCAGCCAAAAACAGCTCACTTCCGCTACATATCGATTTAGCCAGGTATGGTTCGGTCTATGAGTTCTAATCAACAGAATTCACTCACTATGTAGTGAAGTACAATTTTGATTTGAATTCTAATCAGAATGACTATATACACAAATAACTCTGTAGTCGAAAAGTAATTATTTAGCCTCATCTGAACATTATGACCACCATTGAGAAGTTTCTTACAATTCAAGGGAATGCCGGCTTACTTATCAATGGTTTATAAATTTAGAAAAAAATAACTTTCAAAAACTCAAAATTGTGGAGATACGTTGAAAAGAGTTGCAAAAGCAGCTGCAAAACAGACCTCAACGAATTATTAGTATTAGATTTAATTTTTAGTGTTTTATGAAATAAAATAGGTTTTAATAATAATAAAAACAAAGCATCCTGCAAAATCCTACTTTCACCTCCCCGTGGTGAGCAGGGAAACAGGTCTTGTATATGTATAGGTTGTACTGTACACGCATATGGCTAACGAAAAAGGCAGCGGTAGCGGTAATGTATACTTTTATATGTAGCAGTAATGTAACGTGTTTTTTTTTTTTTTTGTAGCGGTAATGACTATGTAACGGTAATGAAAATTTCGAAAATGTAGCGGTAATGATGCGCACCCTCCTCATCATTACTATGTATGTAGTTAGTTTGTTTAATACCCAGGAGCAGAGAGATGATTTTCAAAGAAATAACGCAGTATCATTAAGACCTATATAGCCCCGCCCTAACACCAGAACCCCTGACCCTGGGGCCATGAATTTCAAAATTTTTGTAGCGGGATCACTGCTTATTACAATCATGCCAACAGTTTGACTGCTTGAAGTCCAGGAGTGAAGAAGATTTTTAAAGATTGCATTAATTTTAGTGGTTTTAGTCCCACCCCTCAGGCTTCAGAGAGGCAGGGACCCTGAAATTCAAAAATCTTTGTTCCCCTTCACCCATAGATGCTATATGGCAAAATTGGTTGAAATTGGTTAAAGGCCCAGATTTTTAACCGTACGGTTTTCTCAGGTAAGGGGAGGGACTAAATTTTACATGCGTGGCACCCCGAGGCATTGATGGTCGTGCAGACCGTGGGAAGCGCTAATCCCTATACACAAACAGTATACACAGGAAGTCAATGAGTATTACCTGTACAGCTTGCTGGCCTACTGTTCATCATAAAATTAGTAGACATTGTGAATAAAAAATGTCATTAGTAATAATAAATGATCATTGTAAAATTCCATAATTTCAGACATATCTAATATCAAAACTAGCAGAATCCCACATGTCGACTTGTGTAAAAAAAATCTACGGTATATGTACCTTATATTGTTCGTCACAGCAGCAATGACTTAAGATCGTTGTTAAAAAATATAATGAAATACAGGTTTAAATTCAACAGTAACATACTCATCCTTGCATGTCCCTTTCAAATTCTTAAAAAAAACTATTCAGTATTATCGTAAATATCGTAACAATTATAACTTCGACATTATAACAAATAGATATAAACAGTTACTTCCCGTTTGTATAAAAAGTCGCGTGGTCCTATCTTTAGCAGGTGTATATTCTGTATCTTGTGAAAAAATCGCCATTACGATGGTTTCGTCAAGTTAAAATTACATACAAATGTGTGTATATTATCCATAAGTAAATTTAGATTATAACTAAAAAACTTAAAACGAAAACGAAACTTCTGTATTTCTTTCAAAACTATTTTTAACACCTGTAACCTTGAACGGAGGTAAGAACCCACGTAGCAAGAAACGCTTGGTTATAAAATAGGGAGAGAAAAGAAAGAAAATCGTAAAATTTAAAAAAAAATACTTGTCCAGGCGAAGTTGCTACTAATCAGACATCTTGTTCTCAACCTTACTATCCATTTCAAGCAAAAAAATGTTACAAAGTCCTTTTCTCCTTTATTTCATCGTAATTTTTTCGCCGCGTTACAAAACAAAAATCTTTTACGAGTGAAAACAAGATTTCAGTCAACTATGCACTTTTCATTAGAATAAAAAATTACACAATCTTGATTTATTTTTTGAAACACTATGAGAACATTTTCATTTTTCAATGTTTGTAATACATGTAATTATAATCAATTATAATCAAGCTAAAATTGTTTGTATCGCAATGGCTTCCTCATTTCGATGGTGATTTAGCAGTAAATATAAGAAAACCGAAAGTTAATTTGATGGTGGCCACGCGTGTCAAACAAGGTGAAAGAAATATACACAGGGACTACAAGCTAAATGTCAATCATTTTCAAGTACCCAATGATGGACCTTAATTTATTTGATTGACAGGGGGATACAGACCAGGTAAATCTGAAGGCGGAGCTTATTATCTCGGGCTTTAAGCGGTTTCAGAGAAGAAGTTGAAAATGTTTAAAAGTTAACGCACGACGGACGAAAACGGAACGTCTTCGGAGTTTACTCAGGGACCTAAAAAGACGTACGTCTCCGCCAAAGTGTTCTTTTTGTTCTGGCAATAGTAGAATGTGTTCCCCGTTAAATCCGAATCTTAACTGTAAAGGCAGAAAGTTATTAATTTATCAAACATTATTGTTCAAATTTAGAAGTATATATTTGTGAGAAAACAGAATATACAATATTTTATCAAGATTTACTTACCTTATATCGTAATGAAATGAAGGATATGGAGAGTATTCAATATTTAACATAACATATGAACAACATTTATTAAAATTTTAAATGTAATATATGGTTAAGGTTTAGACCAAGCATGAGACGTCCCTTGCTACTCGTTCATTTTACAGTGTCAAGAAAACAAACTGTTCTATAAAATATTACTATGTACAGTCTGTTAAGCCCATCTGGAACTTTGGTGAACGAATAATAGGCACTGGTAGGTTAGATCCTGATACAAATTAGAACTGCATGGCGTTTTTCATGACGTGCGCCATCATCTTAAACAAATCAGACCACGCTTCCTCCAATTCAGTGTTCCATTGATCCTGCAGTGCCGGCTGCATTGCCCAAATAAACTGCGGACCAATTAACTGTAGCAAAGAAGAGAAAAGTACATATTTAAAATGAATTCAATATGACTTTAAAGCCTTGCGACATACCTCTTCGGGCTCTTTGCAGTTAGAAATTATCTTTTCTTTTGGCATCATACAATTTATTGGTATTTATTAATCTCAGCGAGATGTCGTAGGGACTAAAATATTTGGTCGGACGTCCACTACATCTCAGTCCACTTCCACACAACTTGATTAGGGATTTTTTGCTCAGATTTCGACCGGTTGTTTCAATCAATACGGGCTGAAATGAATTATCTGCTCGCTTCAATTTTTTTCCTTTGAACATCCCTCTAAGTCTCTATCACGATAAAACTTTCCTTTCTTACCTTTTAAATGTTTAAATCCAACAAAATATAAAGTTGTTTATTTTTCCTCTGTAATGTCCAATTCATTTAAACCTCCGATGTTCAAGAGTTCCAAAATAGTCTGCTTTGAATAATTCGTACTATAGTTCATTCCTATAGGAAATAGTAGTAGAACGAATAATTCAAAGCAGACTATTGTGGAACTCTTCAACATCGGAGGTTTAAATGAATTGGACACTACAGAGGAAAAATAAACAACTTTATATTTTGTTGGATTTAAACATTTTAAAGGTAAGCAAGGAAAGTTTTATCGTGATAGAGACTTAAAGGGATGTTCAAAGGAAAAAGTTGAAGCGAGCAGATAATTCATTTCAGCCCGTATTGATTGAAACAACCGGTCGAAATCTGAGCAAAAAATCCCTAATCAAGTTGTGTGGAAGTGGACTGAGATGTCGTAGTGGACGTCCGACCAAATATTTTAGTCCCTACGACATCTCGCTGAGATTAGGTATTTATTAGAACATTAAATTTCTGTTTTTAGTGTTTATTTTATCTGAACATGGGAACATTTAGTTCTTCGCTCCATAGTGTGAAATATAAAAGATGAAAAGCCTTCGAAATGAGGAAAAATTTACCAACAGTTAGTTTACTAAGCAATATCAACCCATTATACATCAACTGACAAGGATTCATATTTATGGGCAGCACATACCCATAGCAGTAGCTTAGTGGGGGCTTGCTTTTTGTACGGGAGGTTACAGGTTCGATTCTCAAATTCGGTCCTGCGTCAAACTTTAACATAAAACAAGGGTAGTGATCGACTGCTGAACACGATTCATAAAAGGAATGTGTGCGCCATTTTTAGACGGGGTCACGTGACCCCGTCTTTTAGTTTACTCTCCGAGGCCTAAAAATAGAAAACGGAAGCCGTGGTGATAACACATGAATTAAATCTACGCATACGAAAGAGTGCAGAAATTGTTTCGATCAAAACATAAACATTTTGTATCAAACTGAAGAAATTGATATAAACCTTTGTCTAACTCAACTAATAAAGTATTTTGATAATTTAAAACTGAAAATATTAACTGCAAATAACACTAGTAGACAAAGTACTATCCTGCGTATTATTATGACTGTGTACGCATCCATTCTCTATCCAGAGTTGTCGTTCCCGCTACGCTCCCACATACACCTCTGTCAACGCTTGTTTTACAAGATACTTGGAAAAATTGTAAATGATTAAAAATTGTATTAATAGTCGTTTATAATTATATTTATTATAGGAAAACAATATTTATTTTAAATTTTTAAAACTTAAAAAGATTTTTTAATTAAGATTTTAATTTTTACTCCGCAAAATAGTTCCCTTAAAACTTTGAAAATAAGTCGTTTTGAGGGAATATATGTTTGAAATAAATGATAAATTATCATCTTTATCAATAATTACAACAATTAATTACTATTATAACTTCAAATTTTCACCATTTAAAATTTGTACAAGAATCTTGTACAACGAGCGTTGACAGAGGTGTAGTGAGCGTAGCGGAAGACAACTCTGGTTAGAGAATGTGTACGCATCATCCATTGTTTACTTCCGGAAAAATTATTAGTTCGTACCTGATGAAATTCGGAGCAGTTCAGAAAGGTTTCCAGACTAAGCAATTATAAAAATTTCTACTTCAAATCAAATTAAATGAAAAATGTGAATGTATATTATTCATAGTTTTATTTTTAGTATGTTAATGAAAAAATAAAGTTGTTATTAAAACTCGTAAAAAAATCACTTTTGTGAAATCTAGCATGAAGATTATTTTGACCCCGTCTTTCAGTACTGTCTCAGTACTTTGATTGTTCGTATTCTCGCAGTACCTGAAGTCCCGTATATAAAAGGGCAGGACTTATAAGTCACTGTTCAGTGTAATCAGTCGACACCGGTACAGACGGACGTAAGCTAAACAGCACTCAGTAGCGACAATAATAACGTAACACTTCGTCTAATGCAGGAAAGTAAGATACCAAAGAAACTTACAATTATAGTTGTGCAGATACACGTAATTGCAATAAAATGTAAACAACGTCAAAGGTAATGCAAGATAACCAGCACGAACACGGGTCGCCATTCCACGCCAGTACCCGTGACAATAAGGTCAGGTGTAATGAATCTGAAGACCCTGGTGTTGGTGTATCGTAGATAATGATACCGAAATGGCGTATGCCTATTTAAGAATCGTGTTCAGCTTCACCTGCATGCTTCTTTAAAGGTTGTAATACTACATAAACTTAATGAGCAGGGGATGATGACCACTTGCTCTCTTGTATTAAGTGTAAATAACAATATACGTACATTCCCCCCCCCAGCCCCCCGCATTAAATAACATTTCCGATTGTTTCTTGCCCAACAAAATTACACACGTGATTATTTATAAACCAAATGCATATAAGACGTAAATAAACTATACTTAGAAATTGTTGTTTTTCTGTTATGAATTAGAGGAACAATTGATCGGACACCTCATTTAAATGAACAAGCATTACCACTGCTCTTTGTGTCGTCATTGGAAATCATTCTTTTAATGGCTGCATGAAGTGTAAAACATTTTACTCTGCTTGAATTTGTAAGACGGATGATCAATGGCTTAGAAGGCACAACTGGGTGATCAAATGAGATCTACTCGTGACATCGCAAGGATTCCACCCTTGGGATTACAATTTACGATAACTATTACACATTTGTCGAGATTCGCCTGAGGATTTATACCAGAAGGTGTTAGCACAAGCATGAATAAAGCACTATACTGACTAACCTTTGTTCCCGATCAATATTTAATAATCATATAATGTGGGTAAAAAGTGATTTTTCTTTTGTAGTTTATACTAGTTTCACAATGGAAACAATCTAAAACTGATTTTTTGTTGTTAAACACAATTTCCTGATTTCTTTTAGATGCTTTTAGTAAGAGTAAATTAAACGATCTGCCAGAAAAAAAACATTCCAAGGGAGTTCAGATCAAGATATATACATGTACCTTGTAAAAACAAACATACATATTCCTATTCGAGTAGGTAGCGATGGATTAAAATCTACACAATATGGGTTGCTTCGATACTAAAATGGCTCCGTTTTTTACTTGAAATAATTTCGCTTGCATAATAAAATATCTCATGCTAAACTTGACCTCCCATCATTCTTGCAATGTTTGGAAGAATCTTGGGAATAATTCTTGGGAAGATTTTTAAAGATATTTTTCGACTAGGAGTGTGACCTATTTTTATCTCTTTGAAAGAAAGATCTGAACAATTTTGAATCTGCACTTTCTTAGGAAGCTTGTATATTAATTTAATACAACTCGTCATAGTCCTGTAGTTCTTAAGAAAATTATGAAAGATATCTTCTAATAAATCCATATGTATAAAATATCGACCCCATATTGTGCCACCCCATCCAACAATTTTGAATGTATACTCTTCAAGGATTTCTTTCAATCAAATTTTGTATTTTCCGGTTGATTTGAGGTGTCATTATATCCCCAATTTTTGGATGTATACCTTATCTAAGCTTTGTTCACTTAAATTTTGTACTCCGGCCAGTTGGATGTTGATGATGGCTTAAAAAATGTCATCAGTTTTCTACTTTTTCATAGTTATACACAGTAGACGGAAGGTGGGCCCTTTGTTTGAACAATCCTGAATAATCTTCTTCCAGTGGTGCTCTAGGGCAGGTCCAGTTGAAATCTGCTCAATACTGCGATACTTGTCTTTCTTTCATTTAATTTTCAATTCTTGTCAGTAATTTTAAGTTCTGTATTGCTTTACTCTAAATGCAAGATGACCTTATTTTCTGTTTGTTTGTTTTTTGTTTTGTTTAGCTCACCTGAGCTGAAAGCTCAAGTGAGCTTTTCTGATCACCCGTTGTCCGTCTGTCTGGAAACTTTTTATATTTTCAACTTCTTTCCAAGAACCACTAGACCAATTTAAACCAAACTTGGTACAAAGCAATGTTTGGATAAAGTGCATTTGAATTGTTAAAATGAAGGACCGCGTCCCCTTCCAATGGAAGATAATCAAGAAAAGAAAAAAGGGGTGGGGTCATTAAAGACATCTTCTCAGAACCACTGAACAGAAAAGCTTAAACTTATGTGGCATCCTGGGGTAGTATAAATTTTATACTAAATAAAAATCTATATAAAATTTTATACTAAATAAAAATCTTTTTCGTAAGAATCATTGGACCAGAAAAGCCGAAGCTTATGTGAAAGCATCCTGGGGTATAGTGTAGATTCTCAATTGTTCAATTCATGACCCCCGGGGGTAGGGCGGGGCCACAATAGGGAATCCAAGTTTTACATTGAAATATATTGGAAAACACTCTAAAAATCTTCTCAAGAACCATTGCACCAGAAAAGCTGAAGCTTATGTAAAAGCATCCTTGGGTAGTTTAGATTCTAAATTGTTCAAATTGTGATTGCCGAAAGGTAGGGCGTGGCCACAGTATAACAAGTGGGTAGTCTGTTAAAGAATAGAAAGGCCTAAGTTACTCAGGTGAGCGATGTGGCCAAATGACCTTTTACTTATGTCCCTATTATTGAAAATTCGGGGGTGTATATATTTTTTTGCCCAGTCCGTCCGTCTGTCTGTATATTTGTCCGAAAAACTTTAACCTTGCGCAAA